ACTTGCGAAAACCAGATGATAGGATTATCTTTCCAAAATTGTGGACATTTTACTGCAACTCGAGCCAATTCAGTAGTGCCAGTTTCACTTTCATTCGTGTTCGGCATAATTCACAGTTCGTGTCACCAATATAAATTCTCTGTCCGGGTCACCAGTGTAAATTCGTGTAGTAAGTAGTAAGTATGGATCAGAAGGTGAATTAACTTATCAATAAACACGAATTCACATAACAAACAAACTTAACAAGTTTTATTATTAAATATAACAGATCTGTAAAAATATGGCAAGAAAAAGAACGATAATTGTTTTTCTTTTTAAAAAGCAAGCGCGTGGCTAGATAATGATTGCACGCGACAACTGGTAAACGGTTTCAGCGCAGTGTAAGTATTTAACGATAGGTGGCGGTCGCCACAGCGTCTCGACTAGCAGTTTTGTTTTCTTTTATTTCAAAAAATAATTTTCTGTGATTCTACTGTTCTACTAATATTCCTCAGAAAAATGGTAATTCTTTTCTACAATTAATTTTTATATTATCTACTTTTTTTAAATTTTCTTTTCTTATATACAGTTTTGTATGAAATAACAATAAATTTTTTAGTATAATCATCATAATTTCAGACATATTTCGAAACTATTTACCAATTTATTAAATGATTTGAAATGTTATACTTTTTCGTTTAAGTTTGCTAACCTGTTTTCTTTTGTGTTGTGTCTATTTTTGTAAATCAAAACTCAATGTGCTTTAAACACTAGCAGAATTTATATGCAAAATTTCTGACCAGAACTGATATTTTGTTTTTGGACAATTCAAAAAGTCTTTGATTCATAATTATGCACTTTCTCAAAACACTATATTTCTGATCTTTAACTTTACAAAACGTTATTTCTTTAAAAAAAAAATTTTTTTTTACTGAAATGTCATCCATATGTTCTCTTTAATGCATATATTTTGTATATATTAGAGATTTTGTATCAAAAATAAAATCAATTTCTTTTCTAATTCTTTTCTGCCACCGGTAGAAAATTAGGTAGAAATATTTGTCTAGAATATAATATTTAATATGTTAGAGACTATGAAGCAGAAACTGTGGTAGTAGTGGTGTAATTACAAGCATAGTTAATTTGAAAAAAGAATTTGTGAAATGTGAGTCACGTTGAATTATTTTTTATTCTAAAAAGCATATTCTTTTATATTTTATCCTTTTAAATAGTTAATTTTTTTCTCCATACTTCATTACATTTAAAAAAAATTTTTTTACATATTTTATTAAAGAATTAATAGTAGTCCTCTCCATATAGCTGTAGTCTCCTGATTAAACATAAATAGAACCATAGTCCCCTCACTATACTTAAATTAGAATTTGTCTGTAATTCTGGAAGTTAAAGCTATTATTGTAATGTTGATTGATTTGATTTGTAATGTACTTGATTTGTAATGTACTTAATGCAATGTATAATGTAACAAAATTTTCCAATATTAAGTATTATAAAATTATACACAAAATATTTCTGTTTAAATTCAATTTCAATTTTATAGTCGCACATTAGCTGTGTCCAAAAGGATAAGGGACTGATAGTTAGCTAAACCGAATTAAGAAATCAAAAGAGAAAATAATTATTATTGAAAAGGATGCATTTGCTCTTGCTTAAATGTATTATATTTATTTGCTTATGCTAATATAATAAAATCTTTTCATTTCAAGTAGGAGAAATTAAATTCTATTTGTGGTATTCTGATTTGTATCAGTTTAAAGATTCTTTTAAATTAAATCCATACTATCACAGGTACTTTTCAGACAAATATAATAAATCAATAACTAGGATAATGAGCTAATGGGCATTAAATGGAGTGAATCTTACAAGGGCAAAGACCAGTTCTAATTGTGAGTAAAGTTAAAGGGCTTTGAGATAATGCCCATACTTAAACTTGTTTAACATCATTTATAAATGGAAAGATAGAAAATGTTTTTCTTCTATCTTCTCCATTGAAAATGATGTCTAACAAATTTAAGTATGAGTATCATCTGCAAAATGTTGATGTGTGTGTGTTTTTTTTTTTTTTTTTTTTTTTTTTTTTTTTTTTTTTTTTTTTTTTTTTTTTTTTTNTTTGTTTGTTTGTTTGTTTGTTTGTTTGTTACAAATGAACATAAAATACTTTCTTTAATTCATCTTTAATTTTTACTTACTCTCAGTTTTTTTTCCTGCTTAATTAATTTTTCCTGCTTTTTCCACTTATTATTTTTTTTAATTTATCATTTTTACTATTATTTTCCTTAACATTTTTCATTCATTCATTTATTATTATTTACATTTGTATTATTATTTATTAGAGTTGGTTTGCTAGGATAGCTACAATGGGATTTTTTGTGAAGCAGTTGTTATTTTATGTTGCCAATATGGTTATGATAGCACGTAAGTACTACTTGCTACAATAATTCTTTTACGTAAGTACCACTTGCTACAATAATTCTTCATTTGATAAAAATTTCCAGCAGTTAAATCTAAATTTCATCTTGTTACTTACATGTTCAAGAATCACATTATTATTGAACTTTATGTCATTCTCATATTAAAGTACTTAAAATTTATTATTAAAATGGTTAGAATTATTCTAATTATTACAAATTAATCACTGTATAAATTAAATCATACTTATTTTTATTCAAGCTCAACACTATCTGTTGATACCAAGGGACAATTTGTCAGATAGTTATATAATAAAGAGTAAATGAATAATATTTTAAAACAGAAAAATATTTATTATTTTAACCCATTCTTTACCATCTCTTATAAATGCACTTGCTGCTCACTTATTTAATCTATAAAAGTTCAGTGTTATTCTTATTTACTTTACTCTCTCTCTCTCTCTCTATTTTATTTGATAATTTGGAATATTAAATAATAATTGTCATAAATTATCTTTTATCCTCCAAATAAAACATTTTTAGCATATAAATTAAACTTTTAAAAACTGATAACTACTGAAATATATTTATAATTTTATAGCAAAAAAAAATTTGATTTTAATACACAATTTTTTGCTTTAAAAACAATCAGGTGATTTAAGAAAATCAAAAGATTAAAATTGCAATTGAAATCATACTAACAGTGTTTTAAAAATACAATATACCTAATAGAATAATTTTAAAATGAATTTAAACTGTGTTCAAAAATTGATTATTTTTGAACTATATTTGATTTTAAAAAATAGCTGAAGAGAGCAGAGAAAACTTTTTGTATGTTATATGCCCTAATTTTAGTTCTTTAGTTAGTTTTATGAATATATACAGTACAGAACCCGTTATCCGGAAATCAGAAAACCGGAAAACCAAAAAACCGGAACGAAATTCGATTAGTTTTCCCGTCATTTTTTTTTTTTTTAATTTTTTTTCCTTATAAGATTTTAGGATTTTTTTTATCCTTTTTTGAAAGATGTTTACCTTACCATCATTTTGGAAATAACCATTAGTGTATTACTTCATCGTTTTTTCTTCTTTTTAAGATTATTCCAATTTTTTTTTTTAGTTGGGTTTAACTATAAAAAAAATGGCTTTTTGTAGCGATTCAGAAAACCCGAAAAATCAGTTATCCGGAATATCGATGGTCCCGATCGTTCCGGATAATCGGTTCCCTACTGTATAAATTTTAAAATATATTCTAGTCACCATACACTTGATAATAAATATACTGGCTAAATAAAATTTTGTCTTCTTAGAAAGATATAAATTCAATTTATTTACATGTCTTTTTACTTATTTACTTTTAGCCTATTGGAAAGAACCACCGTATCCTGACCCTCTTAAATTCCAAAATGAGGATAATATTGTGCGACAACCGCACATTTATCGGCACATTCAGTGCCTATGATAAGCATATGAATATTGTGTTGACTAATTGTGCAGAGTACAAGAACTATGTAAACAAACGAAAGATTACAATTAAAGGAAAGAAAACGATCGGCACTGCCATAATAAGAGGAGAAAATATTGTATCTGTGATAGTTGAAACTCTTCCAGAGGTAAATAAATATATTTCGTTCCTTCTATCTTTATACATGCTGCGTAGCATTTTTAAAAAGTACTTATTTTCTATTTTCGTTATTTAAAAGCCGTTAAAGATGCTTTTTTCATTGGATGTACTAGTTAAAAAGTACTTACTTTTTCTTTTTTGAAAATTATATTTTTTTCTTCACCATGTGGATTTTCACAACGTATTATGCAAAAGCGTGCTTTTCACATTGTTCTATTCAATGTTTTCATAATTCATTCAACTACAATCTTTTTCAGCGTACTGTCGGTCCATAGAGTTTGAAAGCGCCTATCAGTTTACATGTTTGATGAAATTCTTGCGAATCTGTATGTGCGTTTACTGAGCTGGGTTCAGTCAGATTATTGCACTCTCATATGCAACTCTGCTGCATTTTGCAAGATATTCTTAATTTTAGACTTCATTTTCCACCCTCTGATATCAAACCGAAAAATCTCTTTATTATTTTATAATGGCAAATATAATTTTTTTAAAAAAAGAGTTCTTTGTCAGAAACTAGTTATTTTATCACGATCATATAAAGTCTTTGGAAATTATTTTGCATTTTGTTAATGTATATAGTGCTTAAAAAGTACTTAAAAGATGCTTACTTTTTGATGAAAAATTTGGCCCTGTTAACTGACGTTAGCTTTTTTTACGGTAATTTGAGTATAAAATACATTTTCTATCGAATTATTTAAATTTAGTTATAATTCAGAGTAGTAGGCTTAGAATTTTGACATATTTAAAATGTTAATAACTTAAATATTTTTTTCCCTAGTTACTACTACTTTGATCATAAGAAAAATCACCTTATTTAGTGGGCACCTGTGTGAAAATGTTTGATAAAACTATTGAACTATTTGTGATCTCTTGCCTTCATTTACAAGTCAGTAATCTTAACTACTAAGTAGTTAGGAAATTAGTAAAAGTAGCATTAGCAGTAGATTTAGAATTTCTCCTCTTTGTAATTAAAAAATGCCTATTGTTATTGCTTCTAAGTAATGTTTTTTTATCAATAATATTTCAATACTATTAAAATTTTTCCTTTTTATGAAATGCTGCTCTATTTTAAAAAGTACAGCAATAGAAAGTATTAATTTTTCAAGTACAAATTCAAAAAATTTTAAATTATAAATTTTTTAATACTGTACTGCATAATATAGTAAAAATATGCAAGTTTCACACCAGTATGGCGACAATTGTCGCTAAAATCATACACATGAGCGACAAATTTGACTTCTTGTAATACGTCTGGGATTTAAAAAGTAGTTATGGAAAATACCTTGTTGAATCGAATTCAATATGTATATATGCATTTAAAATATAAAAACTATACTATTGTAGTATAAAAAACTATACTACAATATATTGTAAAAATATGTAAGTTTCAAGTCAATATGGCGACAATTATCGCTAAAATCATACACATCGGCAACAAATTTGTTTTCTTGTAATATGTTTAAAAAGATTTATAAAATAGTTCTGAAAAGTATTTTGTTGCATTGAATTTTATGCATTGAAAAAAAAATTATACTAATTTTATTGTTCTACAGTAGGTTCAATGGAATAACTGAAAGTGTCTGGCACTAGAAATTCTAAATTTAGATTGTGCTTCACTTTTACTTCAACTTCAAATTTGCATGCTGTGCTGTTTTTTGCATTCATGTACTGACAGCATAATTATTCATCAGTGCAATAATATTTTTTGCTCTTTTTTTATATATTTTATTAGTTCTTACTTTCTCAGTTTTCCTCATTTATTTGGTATTCAGCATTCTAATCTCAATGTTAAATCTATTTGCTATTGTCATTTTAGCTTTTCTTTTTTTTTGCACTTAATTTTAATGAATTTTCAATCATTATGGAGTCATTAACCTAATTAGTTATTGGTTGTCTTTGATGTGTACTATAATATATATGTAATTGCAAAGTTCCATTTTTTTGTCTACCATATTAAGTTTTTCTAACACTAACATATTAAGTTTCTGAACCACTAAATGACTACCTAAGTGGTGCTATTGGCCCACTAATTTTTTACTGCTGGTTGAACTATAAAAGTAAGTAATTATGTTCCATTGATTCAAAAAATACAAACTTAAAAATTTCTCGTATACAAACTTACAAATTTCTTATAAATCATATGCAGCCGTTATGGCTCAGGCAATAGAGCTTTCACCTTCCAATCAGATGAACCATGTTCGAATCCCAGTGATGGCTGGTCAGTACGAATTCTGCATCCGGCTTGTGCTGACATGTAATATCCTCAGTGGTATGCGACTCATGAGTCCCCTTGCCGTCAGACTAACCGTGGGAGGTATTCGTGGTTTTCTTCTCTATGTAATGCAAATGTGGGTAGGTTCCAATAAAAAGTCTTCCGCAAAGACTAATTTCTCCCAATACTTGATCCAGGTATTCTCTTGTCTTCTCGATTGGGTTCAAAATTACAAGGCTACGTAGTTGCACATTAGTAGTCTCAAACACAAAAAATTGGGTCAGCTGTTCAAAGACGGTTATAAATTATAAATATGAATTAACTCTGATGAACTCTTGAATTGAAATACTTATCGTGATCTTTTCTCTTGGAGTCTTTTAAATTATATATGAGAAATTCAGAAATGAATAGTTGTAATGTATTTAAAGATAAGTGTATCTAAGTGATATAGAAATGGAATTAAAATTCTCTTGTTTTTAAATAAAAAGTTGTTATAAGTTGTGACACGTAATATATGTTCATTGCTAATATTTAAAAATTTATTTTTGACATTTTCCTGTTAATTTTTTTCTTTCCATTTGCAGGAATCTCGCTCTGCTGGAAGCAGCAGTCGCCGTAAGTTTTTTTTTATTGTCATTAATTGATGAATTTTTATTATCATTAATGTTTTATTTTATTATATTGGTTCTGAAGAAAACTAATGAGAATTGTTTAAATGTTGAATATTTAGATTTTAAAATTGATATTGTTAACAGTTTTATTAAAATTGGTATTTTTGATAAAAGAAAAACTTTTAAATTTAAAGTTATTTTTTTCTCCAACTTTAATATAATTTGTGTAATAAAATTTTTAAAAATTTAGTTTTTTCACAATTGGTTAGGATCAAAAATATTTGCAATAATGTTGAAAGTTTTCGGGAAGCTGTGAATAATTTAAGTAATAATGATTTTCCTTTTAATTTTTGTAATGTTAATTTTTTAATTAAGAAAATGATTGAAGAATTCTAGGTTTTTATATATTTTTTCCTTTTAACAGGGCGCAATTCAAGTCTTAACTGAGCAGCCCCAGTTAAGCGTTCTATTAATTTGTTACATATTTCTTTCTCTTGACTTCTTTTATTTTATTTTCTATCAGCGCATTGTAATAAAGAGTTTTGTTTAGTTTAGTTTTTAGTGTTTCTTTTTCATACGGCTTGCTTGTGAAATAGATGTTTGACCTGGTTAAGTGAGTTTTTATTTTCTGATGATTTTGTTTGAATTTCTTTTCTAAATTGGTTATTTGTATTTCATGTTTTTTCCTGGACTTCTATACAAAACCATCGGGGTACTGAGGGAGTTAATTTAGGCATTTGCTTCTCCCTCAATTAGAAATGGTTTTGTTTTATGGCTACCGGGCCCGTACCCCCTGAAGATGTCGGCTTCGGTGGTCATATTTTTATTTCCTTCGTTTCCTTTATTGTTACTTTTTTTCAAATTTCTACTGCTTTTTAGCGTGTGTTTTTCAAAGAAGTTTTATCCATTTAGAATTTTTTTTAAAAAAAAATTTTCTTTTAGTATTTTTATTATCATCTTATTACCTTTAGGACTCTATCATCTCATTGCATGTTATGTCTGTTACCAATTTTGTAAAAAGTCAAATCACCAAAAATTATAAGGCAGAAATTATTCTACAAAAGTATTAACTCCTTTCAATTTAAACTTAAAACCAAAAAATTATTAGAATATATTTATTCAACTAGCTATTTAATTATGATAACAAGCATAACATTTGAAAATGTATTTTCTACAAAAAGGTTGCTTTTTCAGTTAAAATCAGAAAAGTCAAAAATAAATTAAGTGCTGTTGGTATTTCTTGTACTTAATATGCATAAAATATAGTTCTCAATAAATAGGTACATAGAATGATAAGAACTTGTCATTCTCAATAAGTTAATTTTTTTTTGTAGTAATTTAATTAATAAAAAACCATAACTAATCCGTATTGTAACATTTGAGGATTATGTCTAACAAATTAGTTTAGAAGCAATATGTAAACATTTATCATAACCTCTGGAATTATTTCTTGTTGGAATAATTCATAGAAATGTGTAAATCAATAGCTCTCATCACAATTCCAACATCTGTTATTCCACGGTCTTGTGCGAAACATTTTTTTATTGCTTTTCTTTCTTGATTTGTGTTTTAAGGCAATTTTAATTTTTTTAAAAATAAAATTTTAATCTTTTTGAAAGTCTTGAAAATTATTTAAAATAAAATAATATATCATATACTTGATAAATTACTATAATTACAATAATATGTTATTACTTTACAATAATATTACAATAATATATTATTACTATAATATACTTGATAAATTATTTAAAACAATAAAAGCAAGTTTCACATACAGGATAGGACTAAAATGGCATAAATACATTTTTGAGTTAAGTCGATCGATTCAACTAATTAAATAATTTTATCATATTAAGTAAAGAATTCAAAATTCTAAAGAAACTAAAAATAATAATAATACATCCAATGGAAAAACATGCTTAGCAGCAGTAAATCCAAAAGGAATGAGACAATGAAAAAAAATTGGATAATATGACAACCAAAGCTGATGTCTTTAGGTGGTACCAGCTTCGAAAGTCATAAAAAACCTTTTCTATCGAGAAAGCAAGACAAAAGTCTAAAATTTGCCAAAATCCAGGAAAAGAATTGAATGCATAATATACAATATAAAATACAAAAAGCAAATACAGAAGAATAAAAACATGACAAAAACATAAGTACGAACAAATGCTACTTGAAATAAAAGTTTTAGTGTCCGTGGTAATAGAATGGATGAAAACCTTAAACTGGGACAATTAACTCCGCCTGTGTCTGTATCACTTTATTGTAGTTTAAATAACTTTTTTAGTTGGTATAGGTGAGTCATTATGCAATCCTACAAAATGCAACTGTGATTTGCCTGTATGAAAGAGGTTAAGCAATATATTTCCAACAAAAATAATGATTAGACATATTTAACAATAGCAATTAAAGTACTATCTTTTGTTTAACCCATTTTCGGCCAAAGGTGCGCAAACACGCCATTTCAGTGAATATTTTTTTATCAACATTGTGAGTGACGTATACTTTTTACTAATTTTATTTTTCTGGTATTGTCAAGGGTTCTGAAGACATCCATAAATCATTAGTAGTTCAATAGGAGTAAACAATTTCTGTTGAAAAAATTTTAAATTATTCAAGTTTTTTTACTTGAAACGGTTATTGACGTATGAAATTTTTTTAATATGTATTATTATTCCTTTTAAGATTCCTCATATGTTTCTATGAAGGATCAAAGTTGCAAGTCCGCAAAAGAAAAAGAAACAAATTTCATAAATAAAGCATGCGTTTAACTAAATTGTTTGTTCATTGATTTCGTGAATGAAGCCTACATGCACCATTTTATTCCTAATTTTTGATACACGAAAATTTTTTTTTTTTTTTGCTTCTTAATGAATGTAATGTAAGCATATTTCAAGGAAAATAATAAATTTTATAAAATTTCTACGATTGGCCAAAAATGGGTTAGGCATTAAACTATTAAGTAACCCTTTTTACAAAAGATTTTTTTTTTTAGGTTCCAGACATTAAACATATGTCTTGCAACTACTAATTTGACAAGTGGAAGTTTCAGTATCATGTTTCATCGTACAAAAAGCATTTGTCATTAACACTAAACACATCGTAACCAGTCTTAAAGACCAGTTAGGTTATGGTATAACCAGTCATTGTATATTATATTGTTAAGTATTGGTATGTTTATGGTATAACCAGTTATTGTATGTTGTTAAGTGTTGGTATGCTTATGGTGTAACCAGTGTTGTATTGTTAAGTGTTGGTATTTTTATGGTGTAACCAGTGTTGTATTGTTAAGTGTTGTGTTTTGTATAAAATGAACAATTTAATCTTTGTAAGCTTTATGGAATTGTTTGAGAAATGTTGCCAAAACGAACTTATTTACTGTATTTTAAATATATATGATTAGAGGTAGAGTTGACTGTATGTCAGCAGTTCCCATAGGGCTACAGAACCCTAAATGATCGAGCATCTTTTGGCATAATCCCTAATCAAGATTTCTAAACTGTAAGGTTTGCTCTTCCCGAGGTTTTTTTTTCTTCTTCAAAGAGGCAAAATTATGACATAGCATACTCATACTGTTTGTCTACGATAGGTACTCTGTCCGCCACAAAGTCTGCGGCAGTCTGGTGCTATGGAAACAAGAAGAGAGCATTTTAGGGAGGGTGGCTTCGATGAAGTGGTCTCATTTTCTTTCGCCTTCGATGATAGCTTGTACGGGGAGTATACCAGATTGGCTGACTCAGCCACCAGTAGGAGACTTATTTAATCTGATTCAAGAACTTTTTTAAGATTCGCATGAATATTTCTTTCTTACTTAAAATAATTCTCTCGATTCAATCAGTTGTTATTTTTTAAATACAAAGGAAAAAAAGTGAACAAATTCTGACATTAAGGGTAGTACAGGTTTTTTTAATATTACTTTTTAATTTTACGATATTTATTATGAATGTTCATTGATTGTTAGATGGTTTAATTTCTAAACTTGCACATTTTTTAAAGCAGTTAATTTCTTTTATTACTTGAATTTTCTGGAAAAAGTGAAGAGCTTAAACTTAATAACTCTGATTTTAAAAGGAGATAAAACTTTTGCTGAAAATAAAAATAGTTCACGTTATCTGTGCCGGAGAAATATTAAATATCTTTGTTTTGATTATTAATTTTTAAATATTTTATTTATTTATTTATTTTTTTTTTTTTTTTTTGAAACTGAAAGCAAGTGACCGCAACTAGGATGAAATCTAAAACTATCAACGATGATTTTTATCAGCACCCATCAAACCATCTGAAATTATCTGAAGTTTTTTTTGCTTAAATTACGTTTTCTTATTCATATTTTATTGTAACCTGTACAGTTTTTTTTCACTATTTATTAAAAACAGTTTTTATTAGCAAATTTATTTTTTTCTTAATAACCAATTTACTATGTATGATAAATTTATAGATGAGTTATTTATTAATAAAACATTGAGCTGCTTTAAACAATTTTATACAATTTCCATACATATTCCATACATACATATAAATTTTTTTAATTTTTTTTCTAAAACAGAAGCTTTTGAAAAAGAGAAAAGATTAAAAAAAAGGAATCACACGCTCTAAACGATGTTTCAGGCGCGAATGCTCATTTCTCTTAACTCTAGGGCTAATACAATAGATCGAAGAAAGAAGTCTTCTTTTCTCCCACGGAAACCAGTCTTAAAGAGGGGCCCCGCACCCCTACTTGAAATAATCATACCTCGTTACCATAGTCCCCGCCACCCCTCCAGACGAATGGCGGACAGAGTACCTATCGTAGACAAACAGTAGATGCTTAATCTATCCCATCTTCCAATGTTATTCTTGATACTAGCTACTATTTCAAGTCCCCGATTTTAGTTTTTTTTAATCTTTATTATAGAAAGTTTGGAATTAAGTACAGTACAGAACCCGTTATCCGGAAATCAGAAAACCGGAACGAAGTTAGATAAATTTTCCCGCCATTTTTAAAAAAAAAAAACTTTTTTTTTCCTCATAAGATTTTAGGATTTTTTATTCTTTTTTGAAAGATGTTTACCTTGCCATCATTTTGGAAATAATCATTAGTATATTACTTTATCTTTTTTTTCTTCTGTTTAAGATTATTTCCAAATATTATTTTTTTTAGTTGGATTTAACAATAAAAAAAAACGGCTTTTTGTAGCGATTCAGAAAACCAGAAAAATCAGTTATCCGGAATAATGATGGTCCCGATTGTTCCGGATAATCGGTTCCCTACTGTAATAGAATCCAACTTCTAATGTTTAAGATAAAGCAAAGTTTATCTTCATGTTTTCAATGTAAAAATTATATTTGTACTTTTGCACAACTTAACCCAAAACATAGCACATGAGCTTGGGTTCTATCCCAAATTTTTTTTTATAATTCTATAGATAGTGGAAGAAACTAAAAATCCAGAAGAATAAGAAAAAAGTAGACCAAGCATAAAATAGACAGAGCAGAATATAAAATTAAATTACCAAGCTTATTCAGAATAATTTTTATTAAATCTCATGGCATGTTGTGCTTTTGGATAACTTAATCAAATTCATTATTTTTTGTGTTTAATTCATTTTACGATAATTTTTTTCTGATAAAATTTACTAGAATTTAACCTATTTTTGATTTAGATTTAATATTTTACTAAATTAAATTCATTTCTTCGAAGTTCTTTTAGAACTTATTTTGGCATTTGAATCTTCATATAATGGTTGTGACATCAGAGCCATATCTTTTTTTTTCTGCCTAGGTAAACTTTCCTTTCATTATGATAAAACTTGCACAAATGTTTTCCAATTGAAAGCAATAATTACCCTTTCAATTTATGTTAGAATGCATTTCACTTTTAGAAAAGCATACCTTTTTGTAGCTTTTGTTAAAATTTAAAATACAAGTTCTGTTTATGATCAAGTTAAATATATAGTTGTGCCATCCAATGGATGGTGTTTTCTACACTAGGGAACACTGCAAGCTCGGGACTGCCAAAATTTCCGGGTTACTGTTTCAGTTGTATTTTAAAGCCATTTGGCATCATTGCATTTTGAGATTCTTGCAAACAATGTACAGTACAGAACTCGTTATCCGGAAATCAGAAAACCAAAAAATTGGAACGAAATTCCATAAATTTTCCCGCCATTTTTTTTTTTTTTTTTTTTTTTNTTTTAAATGTTTTTTTCCTCATAAGATTTCAAGATTTTTCTTTCTTTTTTGAAGGATGTTTACCTTACCATCATTTTGGAAACAAACATTAGTGTATTACTTCATCGTTTTTTCTTCTTTTTAAGATTATTTCCAAATATATATTTTTTTTAGTTTGACAATGAAAAAACGGCTTTTTGTAGCGATTCAGAAAACCGGAAAAATCAGTTATCCGGAATAACAATGGTCCCGATCGTTCCGGATAATCGGTTCCCTACTGTATTTCATTACTTATGTTTACAATGCTAACAATACTCGTGCTTGCAATACTAGAAGTGTTAACACTAACGTAAGATGGTGCACAGCTTGCAACACGAACAAACAGTAATAAACAAATGGAAAGAGGCCAAATCAAGACTGCCAAAAAAGCGAGTTATTCGAAATCTAGCAACCATGTCACCTTTTTTAATAATAAATAACAAAATAAGTAAAACAAATTTTCACTCCTAACTCCACAGAATTGCATAATAACATTAATATCTTATGAAATACAGCAGATTTGAGCTCAGAAATTATCTAATTTATTTCTTTTATTGAAAACAAAATTATCCGCCTGAAAACATTGCCTATCAGAATAACACATAGTAAGCAGCTGCAAAATTTTGAACCGGAACTAGAGTAGATGCCGAGCTCGAGATTGTTTACATTTCTATTGAAAACACTATCCATATATGCATTATTGTAACATGCAAAAACTGGTTCTAAAAATCCAAAGGAATTACTTATATTTTTTTTAAAACCAGAATCATTATCAAAAACTAAGATAAATGTAAGAGGAAAGATGCAATTAACCCTTGAAAATCAGATTCTCTCACAAAACTACAATGAAATTTCTAAGCCTAGCTCTCCAAGAAAAAAAGAAACGCAAAATATCAGAACATAAATTCCTAGATTCAGCTTTTTATAAAACTAAAATTTGTTTATTAAGAAATATAAAATTTCAGGTATATTTTAATTTTTTGATATTTTATTTAAGTTATAACAAGATTCATAGTTTCAATGAATCGAAAATACAGTAATGAAACATCTATCAAGTATGCAACCTTTTGTGTCTAATAACCTTGATCCCAAATTAAAAAACTTACCAAATACAGTAGGGAACCGATTATCCGGAACGATCAGGACCATCGCTATTCCGGATAACTGATTTTTCTGGTTTTCTAAATCGCTACAAAAAGCCGTTTTTTTTTAATTGTTAAACCCAACTAAAAAAAAAATTTTTTTGGAAATAATCTTAAAAAGAAGAAAAAACGATGGAGTAATACACTAATGATTATTTCCAAAATGATGGTAAGGTAAACATCTTTCAAAAAAGAAAGAAAAATCCTAAAATCTTATGAGGAAAAAAAAATTTTTGTTTTAAATGGCGGGAAAATTTATCGAATTTTGTTCCGGTTTTCTGATTTCCGGATAACGGGTTCTGTACTGTACTACACTAACCAAAATTAAAAAACACTTAATGTGAAGAATAAAATTTAATAAAGTTATATTTTATCCAGTTAAATTCGCCAACTTGAGCAATATATAGTTCTGAATAGGTCTTAAGTGTATGGTTCAGCTGAAAACTTTATACACATAGCTACTTTTTGAAGAAATAAATATTTGAGAATGGTTGTCAGAAATAACTACCTAAGGATTTCATAATTGTATATTGAATTTAAAAATTCAATGATAAGTAGTGTAATTTTTTTATAAATGCATATCCTTTTTATAATTATTCAATGTGTTGCTGGAAAAAATGTTATTAAATATAAAAACCAAAATATAATGGTGCATTGTTAGGATATTAATGAGTATTGAAAAATTGGTTTCAAAAATTTTAATTGTCGGAACCCTATGGTATCTTTGAACACCATTCGGGAACCACTGTTGCATGTGACTCCTAATAAAATAAGTGTTTGTATCTGAAGCCTGTCCAAATTATAATAAAAAGAAAATATGCATCAGTTGTATGTGTGCCTTAGTACTGAAAAATTACTAGTCTAAAAAATACAAGTTAACTACAAATTTAATTAATGTGTATTATAATTTGAAACTCAGTTTGAGTACTTATCTATGTTGTATTGTAAATATTTATAAATGTTTACATAAATATTTATTCTTCTTATAAAAATTTACATCAGAAAATTGCATTTCTAATTGCCAAGTTTAGGTTTCCAATGTAAATTTAATATAAAAATTGTAGTGTACTTACAGTAAAAACAATAAACATATGTTGAGCAGTATTCGATAATTTAAAGGTGTAGACCAGGGGTGGTGAACCTTTATGCAACAACGTGCCATTTTTTCTAAAAAAATGTTGGTCATAGACGTGCCGTCAAATAATTTTTACTTCGTGATTATTGGGGAAATAACACTAAATACTGTCAACTCAAAACTCTTTATTTGCTATGAAAAAGAATAAATTTTGCAATGTCTCAGTTATACGCGTAATTCAACTTAAAGTAACATCAGTGTGAATGATAATAGCGAATTCCGGAGCAGTTTTTAATATTCAAATTGGCGGATTTCTGTCCATTGGAAGAATCACGTGCACGCAGGGGTGCCACTCTAAGAAAGTTTCAAGACTGAACTTATTTTTTGACGAAATAATACTGTCTAGCGTTGTTTACCAAACTTTTAGAAATTTATAGCTCACTGACACCAAAATTTACCTTTCCTTGATAATAGCCTACATATTAAATCAATCATTTGATTATTTTTTCTAAAAAATTTTTTCTTTATTTTATGTTTTTTTAGCAAACATAACGAAAATAACAGCTAACCTTGTATATTTTTTACAACTATTACTGAACAACCTGAAACCATTCATATCTCTATTTTTCATTTCACCGTTACTTATTTTTTGTTCTAGCACTATAATTTCTTTCCTTCTTGAAAAAATAATCTTGTTTTAACTTTGGCCAACATGACAATAGGTTAGGGTGGGAGAAGCAAACTTGAGCAGATTTAGATTCAGCAATAGTACAAATTTAATTACACAAGTAGATGAAGTTCAATCAATCCCATTTGTCAAGACTTTAAGAATAAGATTTAGTGAAGCTGACAAAAAGAAGATAAATAAAAGTCCTGACATCATTACCATATCATATGTTTTCATTAATATATAATATTTCTTTTATTTTGACCAAAAAATTTTTTCAATTTCTAATGAAATTTTTTTATTTATTTAATTGATAGACTTTATTAGTCCATTGATTTTTCTCAAGACTGATTTCAGTCCCCAGGACTGAAGAGTGGCACCCATGCGTGCACAGTTCTCGCAATCGCAGAAGGTTCAAAATTTGGAATATTTCGACGGATTATAAGTTTTTGACCAACGGTCTTGAGAAATGCGGAATACCGCGATATTCCCAGAAAAATCAAATGCCCAGCTCTTAATATATTCCCCCACAAGGTTAATATGAAAAACCCAGAATTCTGGGATACCCACTGAATACAATCACCCCATAACCAATTAAATGGTAGACTAAGGCGAATGTGTTAAGCCACAACAGATTGCGTGGCCAGATTTTTTCAACAATAGAATCTTTGCATACCTGCCAATATTGCAGGAATACTAAGTTTTGATACATCATGCATAATCATGTAAATGAGTAATTCAAAATTTTGTGTGAAGTAAAAAATATGTATATAAAAAAGATTTTCGTAAATTGTTAATTATAATTATTTTAATTAAGCATAATTGTGATAAAACAACTAGTTTCTGATAAATATTGCAGAAAAAGTGCATTTTTTGTAATTCAGAAAGTCAATCTAATCTAAAAAAAAATCCAGATAATTAAGCACTTTTTACAAACCATTAATAAAAAAAAATTACCTTAAAGGGCCTTTAAAAAAAAAGGCAAATCAAAAATAAGCACAAATCAAGAAAATTATATGACCCCTATTATCATATTAAAGGAAATGTACAACGTTATCCATTTCATTTTTTAATTTCAGAAATTTTGCAGTGATGAAGCTCTTGATTCACTAGAAAATACATAATCCCCAAATAGTTCCAAGTCACCATCACTGGGGTAACTAAAATCGTATATAAGGTAAAAACTCCTTTTGCAGCAACAAAAAAAAACTCTGTATCAATAAAGAAAATTTTGTGACTTAAAAGCAGCAGGTAGAAAATATTGCAAATAGGTTAGGTAAAGAAAATAAAATGGTAAATAAAACACTAGAAATCACCTCTGGGGGTACTGAATTGGAGATTGATATCTCTGATTCAGGTCAAAATTACAATATGTGAATGGATGTATGAAACGGCCTGCCCTATTAACGGGTATGACAGAAGCCGAATTCTTGGCCATAGATGATAAATCACATTTGATTTGGCACAAAGATGATCACAATTCATTGGCAACCTGGCATCACTTCAACAACTACGAAATTTACACAAATATTTTTTCTCCATTGCTATTAGGCGGGGGGGGGGTGGATTTCGCAACAATTAGTCTGTACACAGTGATCAGCAAAAAATTTGGTGAAATTTTGCAGCACAATTTCAGACAGCGAAATTGTGAAAACTTTTTTGCGTCATTTGCAGTGAAAATCAACATGTTTAGGAAAGTCAATTTGGAAATTGAAAATACAAAAATCATCCAATAAAGATCAGTGTTGGAACAATAAATGGCAACACAGCTTTATCTGTTAACTTCATATGCATACAATTAAGATCTAAACTTAATCATTGCATAGAACTTTTAAAATGCTAAATAACGCATGTACTACAAACCAATATTCCCAGACAGCGAAATCAAAATCAATTAGGATTAACAAACAAGGTAGGATAAAATAAGACAAAATGTAAGAACAAGATCTTTATTCATCTTCATACAATTAATCAAGTCCTCTCAATTCACGCTGCACATCAACCCACACACTGAAAGGCCCATGATTGTTAAAGTAATGGCAGTATGCGCCATCTGGTTTTAATCTGCCATCAGCTCTCATTTCTTCAAAAGCTGCTCTCTCCCATTTCGTGAATCCCCATTTCTTGGATACGTGGATCTGAAAGAAAAGTACAAGACAAATGTTACAACACTATTTCGTACAGTGGCAGCACTTTTTAACTAAATGCTAGCATTATTTTAAAAATTCAATGCTATTCAAGAGATTTGAAGAAAGTTAAATTTGAAGTTCATACCTATTGCATTAAAACAGTAAAATAAACTATGCTTTTTAGTAGATATATTAAATATTTCGGATAACTTTAGGGACTTTCTAAGTTGACAAAAAAAAAAATTAAAATAAGTTAGTTAAAATAACAATACTTCCAATTCATGATCGCCAATAAATAAACTTTTATACAAATATGAGCTAGAATGCTTGAGAATTTAACAAAAGATTGCAATCATATAAATCATATGATTAGCAATGTCATTTTTCTCATTGAGAATACAAATATAAAATTAAATTCTCACCCAGAAAATACTTAATTTACTTCACTCTGACAATTACGCAAGCAACAATGCATGGGCAATGCTTTTGAGGAAGCACTGAATGCTTGAAAAGTTATCAAAAGATAGTAATCACAAAATGTAATCATGTATAATTAGCAATGTTATTTTTCCTATTGAGAATACCAATATTGAGAATATTGAAATATACCATTGAATTCTCACCCGGAAAATATTTATTTACTTCACTCTGACAATTACGCAAGCAACAATGCATGGGCAATGCTTTTGAGGAAGCACTGAATGCTTGAGAAGTTACCAAAAGATTGTTATCACAAATTGTAGTCATGTATAATTAGCAATGTTATTTTTCCTATTGAGAATACAAATATACCATTGAATTCTCACCCAGAAAATATTTATTTACTTCACTCTGACAATTACACAAGCAACAATGCATGGGCAATGCTTTTGAGGAAGAACATGACAAACAATACAAGTGACCAAAAAGAAAAAAAAGATAAGTCACACACCCGAACAGAACTTTATAAACCTACTAGGAAGCTTCGCTCGCTGGCACTCGCCAACCCCCGGAACTGCTTTCGCAGTTCATTTCGGATTGCTTCGCAATCCGATACTTGCTTTACTCGCTCATTGGATACGTTCTTAACGTCTAGCTTTTGTATACTTTTTTTAACACTGAAATTCTGAAAACATATTTTTCTTAATCACACTATTCTAAATTTCAGTTGTTGAGAAAAGTGACTGTTATAAGTTTTGTTTTAAAGTCTTTCCCACGAGAGGGCTAAAACCATGTGTTGTAAAACAATATGAAATACTGAACGCCGGATATAAAGCATTGGCTTCGATGAGGATAACTTGTGAGAAATTTTTTGATAATTCGATGAGAATTCACCCGAGTAGACATACGATTCTCACTACGTGCTCTTGCGCGCCGAAGCCCATCGATTAAAACGTATTAGCGTTTAATATAATATAGATTAGCCATATGATGCTCACTATGTGCTCTTGCGCGCCGAAGCCCATCAATTAAAAATGAAAACTGTTGCCAACGCGAGAAAAGAAATATCATCGGTTTTATTGATNTAGTTTATCTCCAATTTCCGTAGCAACTACGGAAATTCCGTAGCAGTTGGAGGGTATGTACACCCCATAACAAAGTAATTAAATACTTGATTTTAATTTTGCTATAAACAGAATTAGAGCTGTCAAAAGTAAATGTTGCCTTTATTCAATCATTTTGATACTTCTATGCCAATTGGAATTTTTAATATATTGTTTTTAAATAAAATGGTAAAGAAATTAAATTATTTAAAAACCATATAAGATATGTTGCTGCATGTGCTTAAAATATTAGATACATGTAGGATCTCTAAAATTCTTCGCAAATAATTGCATAAAATGAAGTTGACATTTATGTTGTATCATTTTCTAATTGAGAAGACAACTATACCATTGAATTCTCACCCACTAAGAAAATATTTAGTTTACTTCACTCTGACAATTACGCAAGCAACAATGCATGGGCAATGCTTTTGAGGAAGGAAAGATATAATTATTCATATAATCTATATGCAGATATTTTTACTGTTCTGCAGAGCAGAAAAATCCTGTAATGTTATAAGTGGAGTAATGTGCAATAAGAATACAAGCAGAAATGAGACAAGCTTTTAAAAAAAAAATTTATAAAATACACATAATACAAATTATAAGTCCACCAAATATTGCTGTGCAGTGTTGACCTCTAAAAGTTTTAAACAATGAACCCTATTATCTATAATACTTAAAAATGGATTTCCATAATATGATCTGAGGGAGGATCACGAAGTCTTGGCAGTTTAGGGGCAGTAGTCCACGAGCATGGGTTCCACTTAAGAAAAAAATCAAGGCTGAACGGATTTTTCGACCAATTAACAGTCTTCAAAGTCATGTATATTGCTTCACAACAGTTGTGGTCTCTAGACATTTTGATTACGGTAATTTAAAAAATAATCTTAACTTTGCTTAGCACCTCAAAACATTGAAAATCAATACAAGCTCCAGCATATTTAGATCTAACAATATAAATTTTATTTACACAAGTTCAGTCAATCCCACTCTCTGATTGTAGTGAGAGATCACTAATTGATCATAAAGTTAAAATACATATTAATTGGAGGAAGAAATTCTATCAACTAGAATCTTTTTTAAGACTGACTTCAGTCTTTCAAACTGTCCTTATGAATATAAAACAAAGGTCATAGAAAGGGACTAACTGGAAGGGCGTAACTCATAGCCACCCCATGGCAAGCATCTATGCAATCATTTAAAAAAAATTGTCAAGTTCTTGGGGCCTTGGTGGTACAGATAAAAAAAAAAGAATTTTATCCCTTAAAAATCTAATGAGATATTAGAAATCAATTCAATACAAAAAGCTTTTAAATTGTTAACACAGAAAGAATAAAAACATAATATAATACCTTTTGACGTCCAGGATACTTGAACTTAGCTCTCCTCAAAGCTTCAATTACATGTTCTTTATGCTGATCTTTAGCTCTAACAGACATCATCACCTGGCCAATGTTAACTCGAGCTACAGTACCTTGTGGCTTGCCAAAAGCACCCCTCATACCAGTCTGGAGCCTGTGGGATAGTAACAGAAAATATAAAATTATTTAACCCTTTCAACAGCTGTGGTTTTAACTATTATAACTAAAAGTAAACAAAATGAAAAAAATTTAAATAAATTGTTATACCAAAGTCAAACTAAAATAAGATTTCTGGTGTTCTATTTTTCTTCCTTTCAGAGTGAAGAAAAAAGAAATTTACACATTACTACAATTAACAAAATGCTTTATACAAAAAATAAAAAAGTTTATATATTTGTATAAATATTTCAGGGTTTAAAAATACAGAAACACCAGACCTTGAAACCTTAAATTCAAAATGCCATAATATTTGTGACCCTGGCAAAATGAAATCAAATTTTAAATTAAAAAAATATTTGCTCTCTTTCTATAGTTTCTTCTAAACTAGCTTTTTTCTACATCTGAAAATCACAAATTAATCTATTTTTTGAAACAAATTGACAAACCTAGCATTTTATAGAAATTTTTCGTAACTTCTTCTTGAGTCCTTACAGGGATTTATTTAGAGCAAGAAATTAGATTTTAGTAATGAAGTAACCCTGAAGAATGGTTTATACCTCCAGCTTTAATGGGGGTGACAGAATAAATGGCATTTCTCTTCCTGTTACTGACTTTACACCATTTAGCATAAATTTAATCAAAACGTTAAAAAGAAACCAGTCTTGAAACTTCATCTCATTGTTAAGTTTAAAAGCACTAAAAATCTTACAAATTACTGATTTGGAGTTAAGTCTAGTCGGTTTATATACAATCTTTGATGGGTCTGAGAATTCACACCGATCATTAAAAAAACCTTCGAAAATAGTTTCATGGAGAAAGTTTAGCTAAGCAGAAAGTTCGCAGGCCTAAACACAAGCAAACTACATCGCCAAATTGGCTATTCTTTAAAACAATCTTTTAGTTTAGACTTGTTCCAAATTAAGACTGTCAAGCTTAATATTAGAGCCTTGTTCTAAACTAGTGAACTAGAATAATTATCAGATCTAAGCTAGTTTACCTATCAGCTCCAGCACACGATAACATTTTGTTTATTCTGATGACATGGAATGGATGTAGCCGCATCCTCAAATGGAAAGAATCCTTGCCGCACATTTTTACTAAATATTTGTTGGCGCAGATTCTTCCAGCTTCTAGAGCCTCAGATGAAATTTGCTCAAACTCATTGGAGACCAGATGAATGCACAATGGGAGTTCATCTACTTTTGCCTTCTTCCTTCCAAGATCAAAAATTCTGATTTTAGGATCTGCAAATAAAAAATTTTTAGCATCTTTTTTTTTAAAAAAAAAATACATCTTCAACATAGAACATGGTAAAAATGTTTTAAAACACAAAGCTTTTAAACAGCAAATCAAACTGCCTATTAAATAAAAACTTTAATAACATTACATTTTACAGAGTTCATACAAAACGTTTTTTTTTTTAATTAAAAAGCAGTTACTAAAAAGAACTTGCAAAAATGTATATTTTGCAAAGGATATTTTTTTCTAGCCCTTTTGAAATAAAATTTGACTCTGTCAAATCTTAAAGAAAAATAAAGTTATCACTTTCACACATAAATACATTTTCCAGTTTCAAATATTTTAATAAATCTTGTTAAAGTACAGATGTTAAAGATTAATATAAAAATCTACCAATCTTATATTTTTAAATCTTATATTTTTAACACATAAGAAAAAAGGCATTTCAGATCAAAAAAAATTACAGTTACTCATTAATTATGCTTGCTTGTGACATTTAAAATTATTTGCTATTTTCTTCTTCTAACTCTTGCAATCCAATTTTTTTCCTCTTTTAGCTTTGACAGCAAATTCATCGGCGGACTTAATGAGTTCATCTATGCAACACAATAATCTAGGGAGTTTCTAAGGACTAGCTCGAAAATTCCTTGGAGAAATTTTTATTTCCAAGGAGTTTTTTCTATTTCCAAGGAACCCTGATTTTAACAATCACAATAATCAATTATCATATATAAAGAAAAAGTTTCTTAATGAATTTTTCAATTGCTTCCTAAACTTAAAATATTTTAAATACCTTTCTAAAAAAAAATCTTATATTATAAAAGCAGAAAGCCTTCCAGTTATTTACCAAAACATTTTTTTAGCTAACTTCTTTTGAGAAAAAAAATGTGTGCATAGTAATTGTCTTTGAATATGCCTTTTGAATAGTTTTGTCTTTGAATAGTTTTTTGAAATACACACATAAAATAGTAAGAGGGTAATTTTAAAATCATTGATCAAGTTCAGTTATTACATGATAACACATTCTGATAAATGTTTACTTTCATAAATTCATAATTAAATCTAGGTTATATATCAAATTCACTTATTTTAAAAGAAAAAACATTCCAGGAATCACTTTGCTGCAACTACAAACCAGCTACTTTAATAATTACTAGAGCTGTCACACTTTAATACAAAAAATGAATATCTTACTTATAGACAATAAGAGACTAAATAAATTTAAATCCGCCTTAAAATGTTAATACTTTATTGCACAAGAAATCAAAGAAATAAGACTTACCGGGTACACCTCTACAAAATCTAGATTTAGGATATGGCTTGTTTTTACAGTAACGATAGCTGAAAGAATAAAATTCACTAATTTAGTCAGGGATGATTAACAGCAAACAATACATAAACAAAATCATTACATTGCATTGGCATGAAAACACAATTTTAAAAAGTTTTAAAAAAAAACCATTGTAATTTGAATTCAGAAATAAAATTTTTAGAAGAGAAATAAATTTTTTTTTTGCCCTTCAAGTAATATGATTTTTAAAAACAGTCTAATCATACTATTAAAACTTATGAACAAAGTCAATTTTCATTATTCTTTAATTCTACACTAACTTCTTAATAAATAATTGCTTTTTGTAAGCTACAAATTATAATTAAATTAACTACAAAAACAATGAAGAATCACCATTACTTTTTTAATAACTAATAAATGAAAAAGCTAAGCTTTAAATCACGATATCGGATTTTAAAAACAAGGAGAATACCAATCTTATTGCATGATTTTTAAATTAGGTAAATACAGAAATCAAGGCGCAATTCTAACATTCAAAATATCATAAATCTGTCAATAAGACTTGGTGAAAGTTTCAAAATGTAATCTTTAGATAGTGGAAATAAGTCAAAACTTATTTCCACTATAATTAGCGATGCCCAAGAACTAATGGCATTAAGAAACGCTAAACTTTACAATAGTTGTATGTTTGCTCTCAATTTTTAGACCCGGAATGATACCACGGTACACACAGAATACAATCATTTTTGCATCATAACCAAGAGCTTAAACTATCCATAAGAGGTATAAAATTAAATTGATATGTTGATAAAATTTTATGAGCGGTCAATACAATAATGAACCCCTATTTAATGCAGCAAACATTTATGATCGGCAATAAGTTTTTGCAGAACTGAATACAGTCGAACCCCGCTATAGTGAACCTGGGATATAGTGAACACTCGGATGTAGTGAACTTTTTTAGCGGTCCCGTCCGTATTCCTATTTAAATAATGTTATTTTTAACGCTTATAGTGAACAGCTTAGAACTTGGAAACTCGGTTATAGTGGACTCAAATTTCATTTCTTTAAATATCTTTTTCAGTCCTCCATCTTTAAACTTGTAGGTGTTGGGACTGAAAATGAATGTATTCCTATAAAATGTGTCATATTACTCTCCTTTATGCTTATCACTTTTAACTATACTGTAATAAATGTCAAACAGATCATTTATCTTATACTCCCCCCTCCCTG